TCCCCAGTTTATTTAGTGTAATACCACATTCACACAGTTGTGCTTTAGTCAAGTATCAATTAAAAAAAATATAAACGGAAGCCATTTGATTGATTGGACCGATCACCTCACTAACCATCAAAATGAATAATAGTTGGGACACATTTCAAACGTTCATTAAAACAGATTTTGTGTAATCCTGTCACGTAGATAGTGGCGATATTACTAGCTTTTATGAAAATGGATTAGCACCGATAATTTTGGATGAATTCAGAATGTGCATCGTCAGATCCCACTTAAGTATTGTTCCCTGCTATAATTCCAAATGTCTTGATTTCGACTATGCACGACTCTCATGTCTCAAACACCTGTATGAGTCCTCATAGCTTTTGTTGAGACTTGAACTCCCCTCTAATTTGAAGTGACGAGTACAAATCGGAGAACAACCCTGTGTTAATATTCTTGAGTCGGGAGCTGATTCCTAATGGTACACAATTCCCTCCGTACCTTGGTTGTTGAGTCCAGAAAACAGTAATCAGCTTCCGCTATACGAATTATATATTTCAGAGATACATGCTTCATATGCAGACAGTTGACTGCATCACACCAATAAATGAAAAGTGTTATGCATGAACAAGCTAAAAGGTGGCTGAGTCATGAATAAGCAACAGATTAAAAATGATAAATCATATAAAAGGAATTAATCAGAGACTCATGACAATTGGGATGTATATATAGTAGTCTCATTACTTAATAAGTATACATACAGTAATATTCTATGAATTGATTCTCTAATTTACACATACTTCATTCTCCGATGGTTGGATAAGCACTTAATTCAGGATGAGGATCTTCATCAGTATAAAATCTATAATTTTCAAAACTGGAAAATATGTTCGAGAAAAGACCCGACTCTTTCATATCCATGAAAAGTATTTCAGCTAAATTATTGACAAAGCAGTCTCCTGAAAGCTTAATCAAGATACCAGAATGTTATATTGGTCTTTTGTGCACACACTGTATTAAATGGCACTTCAGGATTAGACATGTATTTTCAAAAATGTGGAAGTGATTAGTCAAGTTGATTCTTTCCGACGTTTGAAGAGCTGTCTTGATTTTGGTCTGCTTAAAGTTAACATAAAAACGGTTTTAAACAAATGAACTTTTTGATTTGGGTGGTTTTAGATGCCGCCAAACCTAGTGTAGGGAGTCTAATCCCATGTAGTATTGTAAGTGCAGAAAATTAAGTATTAAACAAGGGTGTGATAGTTATGCCATGCACGATAATTCTCAAATATATTACCTGAACTTGATGGAAGTTATCTTTGAGTTACTTGACTCGTTGAATAAAAATGACACTGAGTATAACTCTTGCCAGTTTTCATTTTCAGGTAGTAAGCGGGAAAATTTTAACTGTAATTAAACTGTTGATAGATCCATGAATAGCTTTCTGCCTTCATTTGATGTACTGCTGTTCATTTTGTTATTTGATAATTAGAACACTGTTCAATCCATTAACTTGGTCGCTTATTGTGAGCTCACTCGAATTCTCATCATGTAGCTTCACGATAGTTTCCGGCGAGCTTCTTTGTAGTACGAAACTACAAAGAAGCTCGCCGGAAACTATCGTAAACCAGAACGACCAGTGAAAAGCAAGGAAGGGAAAATAATCAGCAACACTGACGAACAGCGAAATAGGTGGGTGCAGCACTTTAAGGAGCTATTGAATCGACCAGCTCCACTGAACCCACCCAACATCGAAGCAGCATCCACGGATCTCCCAATTAATATTGGCGCACCCACGATTGAGGAGATCAGTATGGCCATCAGACAAATCAAGAGCGGCAAAGCAGCAGGACCAGACAACATTCCAGCAGAGGCAATGAAAGCAGATGTGGAAGCAACTGCGAAAATATTTCACATTCTCTTCAAGAAGATTTGGGATGAGGAACAAGTACCATCAGATTGGAAAGAAGGATACCTGATCAAAATACCGAAGAAAGGTGATCTCAGCAATTTTGAGAACTACAGAGGCATCACTCTTCTTTCAATACCAGGAAAAGTCTTCAACAGAGTATTGTTAAACAGAATGAAGGACTTCGTAGACGCCCAACTTCGAGATCAACAGGCCGGATTTCGTAAGGATCGATCGTGTACTGACCAAATTGCTACATTACGGATCATTGTGGAACAATCAGTTGAATGGAACTCACCACTCTACATCAACTTCATCGACTAGGAGAAAGCATTCGATAGCGTGGATAGGAAAACACTGTGGAGGCTTCTTCGACACTGCGGTGTGCCTGAGAAAATAGTCAACATCATACGGAATTCTTATGATGGATTCAACTGCAAAATCGTGCACGGACGACAGCTAACAGACTCTTTCGAGGTGAAGACCGGTGTCAGGCAAGGTTGCTTACTCTCACCCTTTCTCTTTCTCCTGGTCATCGACTGGATTATGAAGACGTCAACATCTGGAGGGAAGCACGGTATCAACTGGACAGTTAGGACGCAGCTGGACGATCTAGACTTCGCAGATGACCTGGCTCTCCTATCGCACACTCAACAACAAATGCAAGAGAAGACGACCAGTGTAGCAGCAGCCTCTGCAGCAGTAGGTCTCAACATACATAAAGGAAAAAGCAAAATTCTCCGATGCAACACAACATGCACCAACCGAATCACTCTTGATGGAGATGCCTTGGAGGACGTTAACACCTTCACATATCTTGGCAGCATCATCGACGAGAAAGGTGGATCGGACGCAGATGTGAGGGCGCGGATTGGCAAAGCGAGGGCTGCATTTCTACAGTTGAAAAATATCTGGAACTCCAAACAACTTTCAAACAAAACCAAAATCAGGATCTTCAATACAAATGTCAAGACAGTTCTACTGTATGGAGCGGAAACATGGAGAACTACCAAAGCCATCATCCAGAAGATACAAGTGTTTATTAACAGTTGTCTACGCAAAATACTTCGTATTCGTTGGCCAGACACCATCAGCAACAACTTACTGTGGGAGAGAACAAGTCAGACTCCAATGGAGGGGGAAATCAGGAAGAAGCGGTCGAAGTGGATAGGACATACACTACGAAAAGCACCCAACTGCGTCACTAGACAAGCCCTCACATGGAACCCTCAAGGCAAAAGGAAAAGAGGAAGGCCAAGGAACACACTACGCCGAGAAATAGAGAAAGATATGAGAGGAATGAACAAACATTGGACAGAACTGGAGAGGGAAGCCCAGGACAGAGTTGGTTGGAGAAAACTGGTGGGCGGCCTATGCTCCATTGGGGGTAACAGGCGTAAGTAAGTAAGTAAGCTTCACAATTATTTTATAATGCTAACTAGATTTGGATTCACAGTAAGCTATTTCTCGAAAAGAACCTATTTGGTTTTCAAATACATGCTGGGATAGTTATCATTCCTTTACAACTACCCATCGAATCTATGCTAATAACTCCTACAAGTAGTATTTCCCACTACCCATTAAACGTCACACAGTCAGCGTCAATATAGAACTTCGTACCCATGCACATCAGTTCAAGTTACCATACCACATTAGAAGTCTGAGGATATAGTTGGTTGGAGAATGTCGGTCGACGACCTATTCCATACTGGGGGTAACAGGCATAAATAGGTAATTAGTTGGACGAATATACTGATTCCCGATACTAGAGTTCATAGAGGAATAACCTTTATTTCAATCACTGATATTTATTTAACCGAATGTAATCAAGTGAAATTCATGAATGTGAAGAATTTTCGTAAATATTCTACGAAATTCAGAGAAAGCAATCTTCAATTATCAATAGTAGTTTCACTCAACACCAATAAGCCCCATCAATCACAATTATTAAAAAAGTTTCATGAATATTGCTTAGTCAGGTATCCATACATAACCTGTTCACGTGTTCTCACTGACTAACATAAACCATAAAATATTCAGTGCAAGACACTAATAAAAATGTCCTTTCACTAAAGTCAGAATTAATCCTGCCTTATATTAGGTAAAATAAACCACAAAACATTCTCCAGGTCATCTCTGAATATCAAATGCTAAAATAATCGATGTTCATATCACAGATGACAAACAATCTGATTTTCAGTATAATGTCGTTCGGCTGGTATGTCTAGGGTGTTGATATACTAATTTAAAAATCCGGTTCAATTAGATGGTTAAAATGAATGGGACAGTTTATTCAAAAATTTCCTATTCACGTAATATTGTAAACAATATACCAGCAAAATAAAAGCTAGTTTACATGCCTGTAGCACTTAGCATAAATCTCCCTCAACAAATGCCATACAACCAGGTATCATTTTACTCTGTCCAATGGAATGAAACAGACAATATATTTATCGTGAGGTATGATTCCAATGAATATAGAATTATTTAGTGATTAGTTTTTTTTAAATTTTCTAACAGTAACGAGTAGATATAATTCAGACTCAAGAAGCTAGCCAACTTATAATTTTTTACATAAATCCGATACCAAACGATACGGCGGCTAAGTACAATGTATGGTTAAATTATTACTCATAATATAAGATAGTAAACTTTCCCTAGTCGCAGGTTTGTTGATTCGATAAAGAACTACTGTACCTAGTACTATATATGTGATCCAAATCTATTTCAGTGAAGAATATTTGCCTCCGCTAATTGATATATATTGATATTTATCCTTTTTCGATATTATCGTTTGTGATTATTGCTCATATTTTGTTATTATGATAAAACTACGATTAGTTTGACCGATTCACAATTATTAATATTCAAATAACAAAACTTTTTCTCATGAATCTTTAGATAAAACTCAATTCTCATTAACTTGTTTTCTTATTCTGCCCATATATATATATATCCCAATAACATAGAACAAACAAGTTGAGTATCGTCATATATTATAGGTACTTAAATGGAGCGTCGGCAGATTCTTTTGCATTACGCAGTAGCACGAACACTTGTCTTTGTTAAGACAGAATTACCAATCAAAACTACGAGAGAAATAAGTGGAACACATTGTTTTTAGTTTATATATATAAAAAGAAATTGGTAGCAAAGAAATTAGTAGTAATAGTACGATTTCTATAATGCCCAAATAACCTAATTGACTATCGTTTTACACAAATATATGTTTATATTTAGATAGTATATACTACTACAAATATCACTGCAAACTGAGGTAGATATAAGAGAAGTATTTAGTGTTTACAAAAAGCTTATTTGCTAGTGTAAAATTATCATAAGCAATACAGTAAATACAGTATAAGCTTAAGAAGATAAGATAAATAGTCAGGTAGAAAGGTAGGTAAGACGAGTAGAAAACGACCAGAAATGTGGAACATATAAAAGCAAAATACGGAAAAGCAGAACGAGAATATAACACATCTAATACATAATCTTATTAAAATCATAAATAAATAAAAGTGAAAACACTGCTTTTCAACTTCATTCTCCTAGCCAAAGGCGAAAGCAAAACACACTTGAAATGGGATCGTTAATTATTTTTTAATCACGATGATGTAGATGATGAATGTATAAATCCCACTGTCTATGGGCACATACAAATATCTAGATAAAAAAGGCCTACAGACTAGTACACAATCACAGTTACCAAATATATCTCATTTCTACATAGTCGGAGCTCAGGGAACAAAAATTAATTCACTCGTAACACTATTAGACGAAAAACAGACTAATTAGTAGTCGAAATAGTCATAGTTGTCATATTAAAAGTTAAACGAATAGTAATAATAGGTATTGGGTTATTAGTAGCGTACAAATGTTCACTTTTTATGAATAAAATAATATAATATGCGAACTTTAATATTTTTCTTTTTTCGAACACAATATATCAAAAAGAAACAAAATGTTTTTAACTCATACTATACAGAATGTTTATAAAAGGAAGGTGATGGGTGAACTGTCTATTTCAGATACTATGCCGTTGGTACTATTCACATATAATCCATTGTACACAGACAGTTTTATGCAGAAGTTGATCCTAAAGTGCTTCGTTGACTACAGACCTCACGCATTAATGGACTGAGGCCATCTAAACTGAGCAGTTTGGCGAACTCTGTCATACGAATTTCTAAAGTTCTTAAATCAATAAAAGCTATTAAAATACGGGCATAAAGTTCAGTGGCATATCGCAAACGTTTAGAGCCTGCTTGCCAACGGATATAGTTCCAAAGAAATAAAGTATAGGCCTGTCTAGCAGCAAACACAGGGGGACGTAGATCTTCAGCAAGAGAATTATCAGAGAATAGTTTGATAGCTAAAACAGACATCCGAAGAATATCATCTGAACCAACTAATTCATCCAAATGATCAAAAGCAGCAAGAGTATTTGATTTATACAATTCAAATTCTTCGCGTAAACCCATAGCATAATTTGCTTGGCTAGAACGACAGCATGAAAGGGATCGGAAACTACTATTTTGAAGCAATTTAGAATATGATCCAGAGATTATATTATCTGAATCATGCATATTAGTACTGGGAGTGGCTACTTCATCCAGCATCGAAACTGTTACGGTGGTTAACTGACCATCGGTTTGTAATACAGGATACCTTAGTTTTCGAATATCTCGTTCAAAGAAAAAGGACGAATAAAGTACAATTAATCCATAAATGTTTGTCTATAAAGAAAAAAAACAACAACAACCGCTTGTTAGGTATGGAATAAAAAAGTTAGGGAAAGAGTTTACTAAATTACATGTCCGGTTATAAAACTTTGCAAAGACCACAATGACAATGTCAGTGGAGGATTTTTGGAATTTTGAACTCTAGCTCACTGCAATCGGATCAGATAAAAGTATATAGACAGTACTACGGACGAAGTTTAAAAAATCACACTAACTTAATGCTCATAGATGAATACTCAGTTTGAACAACATTTACTAAAATAATAAATTTGTGTAGAAATATTTATCACCACATCTAGTACTAAGATATCCCGTATGAAACCAAATAAACTGCTAAACAACGGTCCTGTTAAACCATATGAATAGGCTATCGGGACTTGACGTGCTTCCGAAAAGAAGTGTATAGGAAAAGATAATTCGAATTAGCACAGGACTTTGCTCATTTTCAATAAAATCACTCAGTAATAAAAGTACTGTATTGTAAACAATATGAAATGTTGACACGAATTTTAAATCTGTTAACACGAGACGGATTATGAGTTTGTTACAACTGTGATATTTAAGACAACGGACTGAAGAAAATAAAGCTGTACAGAAATATTGATTGCAAAACAACCCTTTACCACGACACTTAGCTAATGTGAATAGGTTTTTTGCAAGAGAATATAGAATAAGTATTAATAACTGACTGTAAACCAATTATAAACTAACTAGTAAGAAATTAAATTTACCTACAATCGATATAATTCAGAGCCTAACAAAGATATATATACATATATATATATATATATATATATATATATATATATATATATATATATATAACCGATAGAATTTTATCGAACGGTGATTCATTGTGACCTGCTTTTGATCTGATTAAGGTCATTAATAATTATGATATCATAATGAAAAACTCTTAATTAGGTATAATATGAAAAGGAGAAAAAGCGACAAACTGGCAGTCATGGGTTGATGTGCATAAAAATATTTACTTGCATAGAACTTAACTTAATTATACTTTTCGTGATCAACGGTGATAAAAGTACTTATTTAACTAAGGTTAATCTATAATTTCAGAATACTGAATGCTTATAATTAGCTGTTAAGCAGTAACAGTTGTATTATTTAAATTCATTGTGAGAAGGACTGCATCAGCTTCAAGCTGAATTTCATCCAAAATCAGTTACAGAATTGTTGAAGACCAACTAATGGTTAAGAACTAATCCCAAATGATTGAGTTTTTGTTAGTGGGACATAGATGGATTTAAAGCATGATTACGTCACTACGTGCTGATTGGCTAATTTCCTATCCAATCAGCGCCTGATCGAGGCTTGGAGAACAGGATAGAAAATTCTCGTCTTATTAGCTGCATGCTGATTGGTCAAATCCAGCCCAGTCAATCACGTGAATTTTCTTCCAGAAGTTTTCTCATGTAAAGGCTATAAATGGACTAGCATTGTATTTATCTTTGCCTTCTAGCCTTCTAGCCTTCTTCGCTTTCAAGCCTTTTTGCCTTGGCTTTCGCCATCACCTCCAGCTTCTTTTCCTTGCTATTTTGGAATACAATCCTTCCTGTTCAACCGTGTTCTGATTTGTGTTACTTGTCCAGTGTCTTGTGTCAAGAATACTAAGCAATAAGATTTAGCCGGAAAATATCGTAAGCAACCGTTACAACAGTTTTGTAAGGATGACTTGCAAGTAACTTATTTGCTAAAACGTATGAACATCATGTTTAACGGACCAAAAAGATTGAAAAAGCCAACTAATTAATTAATTATTATTTAACAACTTATTTCAGTTTGAGCGATCTTGAAGTATCATTAGTCCTCACACTTAGAGTGCAGCTCGCACCTAAGTACCTGTTGAGCTAATAGTTTTCATGTTATGACAGCCAGTTAGTATAATTTAATTGATTAGTCATGGTTTTTAAAGAAGCCGTTTAGACATAACTAGTCTACGAACAAGTGCTTGACCAGTATAATGAAAAAAGTATAACAAATTTATCAATTAACTCCTCTTCAATTTAGTTATGCATTTTAAACTACCTGGTCTTTTAATAAAGACAATTAATCTGATCATGGAACTCCGAGAATAGTGCCGTTAGGAGGAGAAAGACAAGACGTTTTATAATCTATTCCCGTTTAGCTGAGTCATGAATAAAATGTAGCATTTTTTACTTCTGCATGGTTTATGAATGTTTAAACAAAACGTTTACAAATGTGTATTTTGAGCCTCAAAACGCGTAACCCTGTGTTAGGCAATAATTAGTAGCTCTAAGAGTTATGAATTTAACCACGAGTGTACAGAACACGCTGCGTGCATCTTCACAAATAAACTTTCAGAAGGTATGCAATAATCGGGGTCAGAATCAAAAGTGTTAAGTGTTTGTATTAATAATACTTTTTCAGCAAACAAATCGGAGCACACGGTATTCAGTGGTCAGATATGTGTATCTGCAACGAGTCACATCTGTAGTGGAAAATGACTAGGAAATAATGCAGTGCAGTAGTTGGGACAGGTTTATACCTATGATTGAAACGAGACTAAATATCTACGTTACCGACGTTTAACTGTGTTACTACGCTGACATTTTAAGGTGAAAATACATGATTAAAGAACAAAAATAATGTGAATTAATTAAGCATTTAGTAGATTCTGGTTTTCTAGTCATTCTTTAAAGTGTCGGATAACGAATACTAGGTATGAATGAAGCATAATATATGAGGGTTTACAGGCAAGAAATTCTGTATCTTAACTATCATTTGCATAGGTTGTAGGGTTGAAACTCACCACAGGTTTGCAGAAAACTTATTGTTGTCGCTGAAAGCAGTACATGTTACAATAAAATAAGACAATGGGTGAAACGACCTCGCTTAACTTACCCTCAACAAACTTAGTTGAGCAGGTTTGCCAACCTCACTAAAATAAGGCAAATGCTTAACAACCCTTATTATTCTCCGAATGCATGCATCCATTCGATTATATTCTTGTTCTAACGTGACAGCAATACCAGTTTCGAGCTGTTCATCCGGGGTGAACGGTTCTCGGATACGACGAATACAACCTTGCAAACAACTTAATAAGTGAGGATCCGGAGAAGTTATATGCATAGGCGAAGAGCGGAGACATTTAGAACCAGACAAAGTACGTCGACGTCGCAGTCGACGTTTCCGAGAACGAAGTCGACAACTGCGGTGTTGACAAAATGTACGGCCACCAGACTTGCGACACTGTATGAGACGCAGTCCATGTCGTGTTTTACAACACTAAAAAAACAAACAGAAAACGTAAGAAGTCGTAAGATTTAGGATTCCTTTAATAAAATATTACAGAATATGTACAAAGTGAATGAACTATACAGTAGAAATTTTTTAAAACCTAGTTGAATTACGTTTAGTCATTAGTCGTACTGGAAATACTGAAAATAGAATAAACCGGATACAAATACAAAGGGAAATAAAGTTATATACCACTATAAAGATAATGATTGAAAAAAGTATACGCACAATTTACCTTTAAAAGCTACTATTATTAAAGAAATAAATAATCAGAGCTTTAGAATGTCCAAAACCGATAACTGCTAAAAATTCAAAAAAAGCCTTTATGATGCTGAAAGACTATGGTGGGAATAAAAGGGGAACATGAAGATGACAAGATATAATATTCACTCTGCTGAAAACGAGAATAGACCCATAAGGGAGACAAAGATAACCTTACAACGTTTCAAACCTCTAGTTTGTCGTTGAAACCGATGAACGATTACACATACTCAGACTATTTTCGGTCAAACTTTTCAACTGTATCCAAGTTCATTTTTGATTGAATGAACGTTTTCTATACGTAAAGGCATATATATATGAAGAGACTTGGACATTAGCTTAAGCCTCGATCTACAGCCCTGCTCTTTTGATAGAAGTGTACAACGATCAGTGACTTCAAATAAAAAAGCTGTAATTCATTTTAATATACTGTATGAATGCATCTGAGATCTTTTTTTAACAAATCCTCAAGTTTATTGGCAAATTCTATATCTACATACTTGGTTTAATGCATTCCTTAAAAAAACAGATATATTTAGACCGACAGTTATGGACTATTCCTTTTAACCAACATTTAGATTTTTCTAAAAGTGTGTTTAAAGAATCAGAAAATGTCCATAAACTATGATGTATATTACTTCCATTTTTTTAACCGCCATGCAAAGTAATCTGTTACGTCTGACATCAACATACACCAAATTTTCTTTACCGATAACACATATTGTAAACTAGCATACACACATTACGTTAAATTGTTTTAGATTTTGCAAGGCTAAATAGTTTTATATTTTTAAGAAGTGGGTACTATTAGCGAAGAAACATCCCGTCTTATAAAAAAAAAGAAATGTATTGATTTATGCTTTTTGCCTAAACATGAAATTAACAGTTTTGGGAGAATCGATAAATCGACATTTTAGTGATTAGTTGAATTTTACACATGATAGCGTCAGCTACGGAAAAGTCGGAAGAAATCAATTCAGTCACTCAGTTAGCTACAACATAGAACTTCGTACCCAATTTTAAAAAGAATGGTAAACTTTTATGCTATGCAGTCTTAACGAAGCAATACAAGTAACATATATAAAATCCTCATAAAAAAACTTCAAGACGCATCACTTTTGAATATCGATAAATCTCAAGTATAAGAATCAAACCACTTTGGTTCTGCAGCCATTTATTGTCTTCACTGAGACTACATAATCCTTTTTTCCTTAAATATGATCACTAACAGGGAAAACATAACCCTTCTACTCTCTATTATCATGATTATTTCCCAAGATTTAAATAACCAGAAATCTTACATTTTCTTTCTTGTCCCTTTTATTGTTTAACTACTAACTAAAGCATATCAAGCCTTTGTTAATAGTTATATTAGCCAATGCAATTTAGGGCTGTTTGTAGATGGTAAGAAGTGGTGAGACAATACTTATTTTATTCTCCAAACATAGGCATAATGCGAGGTTGTCAAAAATGTAAGTGAAAAATATATCAGCATGAATTTCTCATTAAATTCTACACATGATAGCGTCAGCTACGGAAAAGTCGAAGAAATCAATTCAGTCGGTCAGTTAGCTACAACATAGAACTTCGTACCCAAATTAGCACAGAGACGCAATTGTCAGTTCGAATCCCATAGTAGTAGAGTTTGTAGATGCATTGGCAGTAATTGGAGATAAGGGTTCGAAAATATTACTCAAGAAGTATAATTAGGTAAGATAACTTGAGAAAGAGAAAGCTAGGGTTGATGAGGAATTTAGAAGATTAGGATTTCAGAGGACACAAAGAATGTATTACGCCGAGAAATAGAGAAAGATATGAGAAGACTGAACAAAAATTGGAAAGAACTGGAAAGGGAAGCCCAGGACAGAGTATGTTGGAGAACACTGGTCGGCGGCCTTTGCTCCACTAAGGGTACGAGTTGTAAGTAAGTAAGTAAGTAAAAGAGTGAATGCACCTGCGCCGTCGCAAACGATTTTTACCTCTGTCATTCAAAGTCTATAAACATCCGATATTATCGTCTTGCGGACCCCAACCAGGTAGTCTCCACCTACCAACATGGCTCAGTCCACTTGTCAGTGACTTCACGCATTTGTGAAACTTTTTGGTCTGGCCGATTCGTCCTTTCGTTAGCAAACCGATATCTCGTGTGTATCCGCGCTAAGATTTCGTCGCACACCAGGCCACCAGCACTGATCAGACTCCCGAGATAAGTGAGGCGGTCGGCACGCTCAACTACCCCACTCCCTAAAACTAGTACAGGTGCCGACGCAAGCCAATCTTGAAGCAACATCTTTAATTTCGAGGGGGAAAACTGCGCCCGGACATATATGTATTGTTGCTTAACAAGAACAAGAAAAATATACTTCCAAATCCCTTGTTAACTTTTTAACTTACCGACATACTTTTCATGGTACTCAACTGCTTTCGACCTAAAATTAGCTCCCTTTCTGGAGTCTTCTGATGTAGTGTTTTTCTCGACTAATTTTTATTTATAAACATATACGGACACTAATAAAATTACCCAATCGATATCGTCTGAGCAACTAACTGGGCCAGTGAAGTTTCCTAATTAGGTAATCGGGGATTAGAATGTTGCTGCTCATTACAACCTGATATGTAGTAATACCATATTCCTAGCAAAAACGTACTTATGAACTAGATTCCATGTAGTACCCCGGTTGTAATTTTTAGATACAACCACAATGATCACAATTGCTGTAAACGTCTCAATGTAGTTGTAAAAGCAAAATTAACTTTCTAAACAGATAAAATAGCTTAGCAAAGTCAACGAAATAATGATTTTTAAGTTTCAAAACAGTGAACGCATAAAAGGTACTGCTTGTGGTGATTGTGCTATGAAAACCTGCCAATTGAAATAAGGAACAGCTTAAAGTACAAGAAAAGGTAATATCTCACGTAGTCCTTTCACATTTTAACGTAGCAGTGGACGTTTAAGAATCTTACTTATAGTGTACATGCGTGGGCTCCAAAGGGGAATGTTAGTTGATCAGAAAAGGCAAAAAAATTTTGATCTCTTAAATTAATGGATATGACCAATTTCATTAAGAATCAACGAAACCAGAAGAGAAACAGGTAGTACAAACTAATAAAGAGTTTATTCAACTGTCGTACTAAGCAGTAAAAGCAATAGATGCAATACATAAAAATGGTCCAGAAAATCGATAACAAGGAGACAACAGTTAGTGAGAATCCGCTCAATCATTTTACACAATAATCAGTTACTGAGTTGGTTGGATACTAGACTATATATTCTTAAATCCAGTTAAATAAGATAATCAAATAAATGCATAAATTCTATCACAAAATAGGATTATTATATTATCAAACTATTCAGTAGCAGTGGTTGAATGCACAACGATACTAAGTGATGAGTATCCCCATCGGCCCGTTGTTATAGCATACCTAGAAGCCCTAAATTAGGACGAAAACGTCGCATTTCATCGCAAAATCACTAGAATAGCTTCGAGGAAAATATTTAGTTTTGTATACATACAAAAAAAGATACGCATTCACTTACACTATCTGACTGTTGGGATGATTCAAGCGATAGAAATTTCTCACTCAGATTTTCATCTTGATTTACAGATGGCACAAACAATTCATCAGATTTTCGAATTGCGGGAATTTTTACTGAACTAGTAGGAAAGTCACATTCTTTGTTTTCTAAAGCACCAGAAGAACTGAATGTATCCGTAGTCAATGATAAGTCATTGCGATGACTGGAATTCACATAAGTGGGGAATTTGACAGGATTTATAAGATGTAGTGGTCTGTTAGCTCCAGAAATGAATGAGGAATTATGAGGAGTGTGATTAGATCCATGTTGTGGATGAGATGATGTAGTCAAAGGAGATGGTAAATAGGGAGGATAAGCATTTGTGTTACTACTGCCGACTGATGAAGGTCCAGTTAACAAATTCTGGGGTGAAGAACTGCTATCCTGTGGAGAATGGTGTTTGCGGCGTCGAGGTTTAGCCCGCTGTTCAAGTTTTTCAGGTGCTAAACGAAACAGGAGCAAACAGTTGAGAAACTGTGCAATGATGCACAAAAGCGTTCAATTAATTTATTTAGCTTACATGTAGCTAACATACTGGACCTGATACAATGGATGGGAGGAAATGAATCACATACAGAAGGAAGTGTTAGGAAGAAACGGAACCAGAGAAATACTAACGGAGACGATTTAAATAAGAAAGCAACCCAAATAGTTTCTGAGTCACATATTACATCTCATAGTTAAGGTAAGTGGAAAAAACACTTGCTACTGACTGACTTTCAGTCATCGAGTTATGTGCAAATGACATTGAAACCTACTAACTATTAGCAAAGTTTTGACGACTATAACTTGAAGATACACAGAATAGTAGGCTCTGACAGGTTAACTGGAAGCCCAAATAACCCATTCGCATCAGACCGATCAGTGAGTCAATTAGCTACAACATAGAACTTCGTGCCCACGTACATCAGTTCAAGTTACCATACCAAATTAGCACAGAGACGCAATTGTCAGCTCGAATCCCATAGTAGTAGAGTTTGTAGTAATTGGAGATAAGGGTTCGAAAATAATACTCAAGAAGTATAATTAGGTAAGATAACTTGAGAAAGAGAAAGCTAGGGTTGATGAGGAATTCAGAAGATTAGGATTTTAGAGGACACAAAGAGTGGATTCACCTGCGCGACTGCAAACGATTTTTACCTCTGTCATTCAAAGTCTATAAACATCCGATATTATCGTCTTGCGGACCCCAACCAGGTAGTTTACACCGCATTCATCATCAACGGAAAATTCAACACACGAGCTGCAATGAAATTTTAAATTTGAGACCTCAGACAAACCAAAAATCTAATGTCTTGGACATAAAATCAGAACTTTTTGACCTTTTACGGCAGCGGAAGAACTTGATAGAAACATTTGAAGCATAAGGACCCCAGATATATTTGTTTGAAGGCAGCTACCTCGATGACACAGCACCTTACGGCAAGATTATCAAGGGTTGGGATAGATATTTGATGTCCAACTCGAATTCTTTGATCACAGGTAACTCTAGCTTGTCATTTTTGATTACTGTTGGAGACAAACGAGTTCGGAAATTCCGAGATTCCGATCGACTTTTCTCAAGGTCTTCAGTCACATCGGTTTCATCCTTAAAATCTCAGAGCGAAAACGATCCAGGTAAGTGTGCTTGTTAGTTTACAATTTAATGCATATTCACGAAGCTGAAATGTTTTGAGATACAGGTTAATAGTATTAACGGTTTTAGCATCTATTAATGGTTGATTTCCCAATTTCTACGCTTATCGAGTGGTAGTTCAAGCTGATCTGAAGTACGTTTGGTACAGCAGCCACCTAATCAGAATAAATCTGCCCATGCTACACCCAGTTCATCCCACTCTAGCTCTGCCCAAAAGTCAAAAATGAATCCCCCTGCTGCTTGCTGGCACTGCGGCTCATAGCACTATGTACGGAACTGCCCATATAGGCAACATTGATGGAGGTAGTGTAAGGTCATCGGTCATAAAGATGGTATTTGCCTAAAGAAAAAGCCGAACCGATCCAGAAGTACCAAGATGTCTGGTCCTAGATCCGGTACCAAACCACTGAGCCTAATATCTTCCTGCCAAAGCTCATTACCAGATGAGAGAAAATTCATTACTCTTAATGTTAACGAGCATTCTTTTTAGATTGCAAATAGATACCACATCTGATGTCACCATCCTCTCACGCAAAAATTGGACCAAACTGGATAGTCTAAGCATGCAGCACACAACGCAGAAGCCTCGTATAGTATGTGGTAATTACCTTCGTCTGTTAGGACAAGTGGAATGTAAAGTTGCCTTCCGAGACTCGTCAATTTCTGGTGTATGTTATATAACGCCAGCTGATCTAAATTTACTTGGTTTAGATTGATTAGACCAGCTAAAATTGGCTGATGTCCCTTTAAATACCATATGCCACCTGGTATCACAACCAAATGACCCTGAATCATATATAAGGAAGCTGATGACGGATTTTTCAACCATTTTTCAATCTGGTTTAGGTCGGTGCACTGCCATGAAAGCAACACTTCGGTTGAAACCTGGGGCTAAGCCTGCTTTCCGTCCAAAGAGACCCGTACCTTACTCAACATTAGCAACAGTAGACGAAGAGTTGGATCGCCTTGAACGACAAGGAGTTATTACTCCCGTTTCTTACTCTGCTTGGGCAGCACCTACAGTCGTTATCAAGAAGGCCAACGGCACGATACGTATATGTGCTGACTTCTCTACACGTCTAAACGCAGTTCTGGAAGAGCATCATTATCCTTTGCCAGTCCCAGCAGATCTGTTTACTATGCTGAATGGGGTAAAGTTTTACGCAAAGCTCGATCTAGCTGATGCTTATTTACAAGTGGAAGTAGATGAAGCATCAAAAGAGCTGCTATATTCGAGCTGTCAAACTGATGCCCACTCCCACTAATGTCTCGGAATTACGATCTTTTCTCAGATTAAACAGTTATTTTTCAGCAGTTGTTCCCTCATGATATTGCGCTCCATTGAATTGTCTACCGCAGAAGCATAGCATATGAAACTGGACTAGAGTGTGACGCGGATTTTGGTGAACTCAAGTCTATAATTAGCTCGGAATTGTTATTAACACACTGCGATCCATCCATGCCAATCATCGTGAAAAGAAGTACAGCCAGATAGAGAAAGAGGCTCTTGCCCTTGTGTTTTTGCTGTTCGCCGTTTCCACAAGTTTCTCTACGGTCGGAGATTCACGCTCCTCACAGATCACAAGCCTCTGTCAGCAGTATTCGGTTCTAAATCTGGCATTCCAGCCCATTCTGAAAATCGTCTTCAGCGATGGGCCTTGGTATTTTTGGGGTATGATTTCGAAATCCAATATCGACGCACTCTACAATTCGGTCAAGCAGACGCTTTGTCACGACTCATTAACGATCAAGTGGCGGCTGGGGAAAACATGGTGATCGCATCTCAGTCAGTATAAGACCACGCAGAATGTTACCTGACTACCGCAATTCGTGCATTACCGGTGTCTACAACGGACATACAAAATACTTCTAGAAACGACCCCATCATCAAGATGACGATGAAATATGTCACTAACGGTCGGCCGTCGAAGTTTGGAGGTGACATGAAGCAACCGTATCAGCGGCAGGATTCACTATGCGTCGTGAACGATTGTTTGATGTTTGGTGAAAGAGTAGTGGTGCCAGAATCCCTACGTGCAAAAGTGTTCAGACAGTTCCATCTCGGTCATCCTGGGGTTAAACGAATGAAGTCCATAGCCAGGAGTTATGCATACTGGCCTCACATGGATCAACATGTCACAGCGTTGGTTGAAAAATGCATGCGATGTCAGCAGGCGGCAAAGATGAATGCCGAAATTCAGCCAGTTTCATGGCCCAAACCTGAGCATCCTTGGTCCAGGATACATGTCGACTTCGCTGGTCCAATTAATGTAACTATGTATTTAATTGTGGTCGACGCCTTCTCAAAATGGCCAGAAACCAGCCCCGTAATGCCGCCCACTACAACTAAGACACTACAGGTCTTTAACGAAATTTTCTCTCGAAATGGCGTACCAGGTATGATCCTATCAGACAACGGCTCTCAGTTTACCTCTACCCAATTCCAAATTTTCTGTCAACGGCTAGGCATTAAGCAGTTACGCTCGCCACCATACCGCCCGCAGTCAAATGGGCAAGCGGAAAGGTTTGTGGATACGTTTAAAAGAGCATTGGTTAAGTCAAAAGGGGAGGGGACGCCAGGCGATGCGCTACAAAATTTCTTGTACGTCTATCGAACAACAAACACTAAATGAGTTGTTACCTGAGCAAAAGCCCCCAGCAGAAATCCTGATGGGGAGAAGACTGAAAACGATCCACAGCCTGATGCATCCGACTAATACACCAACATCAGTAGAGACAAAGCAGCAAAGGCAATCCTATTACGAAGTGGGATGCCCTGCGTTCGCCTGTGACTACAGAGCAAATCATGGTCCCTGGGCAGAAGCGCCAGTGATCAGAAGAGTTGAGCGAGTTATGTACGAAGTGGAGGTCGGAGGCGACAGGTGGTCACTCCATCGAAATCAGATGGCTAGCACCAGATCGTCCATCAAGAGCAGCAAATCTCCCTCTTGACATCCTGCTTGATACCTTCAACCTACCAGCAGCCCCCTTACGAGAAGAAACTCAGTCACAAGCTGATCTCCGTTCCAGAAGGTATCCTCACAGACAGCAGTCAAGATGCAAGTCGACCCCAGGAGCGTACGCTATTAAAAAGGGGAGGAGTGTTGGGGATGTTAGACCCCCAGAACTCGCTTGATAAATATCTTTATTTTGGACTTATTTCATGGACCGATCAGTTGACCTTGAGATTGTAGCATCTCATCATTCATTCATCTTACTTTCGGTTGACTTAATTGATAACTGTATTGACCATAATTTTGTATTTGAATAATTCGATTACGGTACCAATTGTCCTATATATTGTAAACACTCTACTAAGTCTCATAATTATATTTGGCTTCCAATATTTCCCCAGGTTTGCCTTTTTATTCCTGAATCATCCCTTATATAATCCTTACTATGATCCTTGCTATAATTATTCCCGAATCATTTACTGTTCATTAACCGGTACTTATGTTTAAAGGCTATAGCGTTACTTTTTTAAAGCCTGTAAGTATTAATCTCAGTTGGCTGCAACTTGCGAATTGGTACGTATGTACATCAGTTCAAGTTTTGATACTACAGAGGTGGAATTGTCAGTTCAAATCTCATAGTTGTACAGGTTGTAGCAGTGTCAGCAGCAATTGAAAGGATTAGTGGTTGAAGATAGGATTTGGGAAGACAAGTCATTTAAATAAATTTGAAAAGAAATCATAATGAACTCACGAACTTGGAATCTATGGGAAAATAGAGATTAGATGTGTCTGCGTTATTACAAGACAGTCAAATAGGTCAACAGGCTTCCTCAGCTAGGACTTTAGAATCTCGTGCCATCGATGTCTGCTGCGTCTCAGAAACGCGCATACAGGATCCGAGTAGCGTCATTCACTTGGCCTCACCATTTCGAGACAAAGAAACAACACGATCTACCCTTCGTGTATCTGGAATCGCTGACGCTTCTTCACGAGATTTCTAAACTGTTAGCCTCGACGATACATAGACGCCTAACGAAAGCTCGTGAAGAGCGGATTAGAGGAAACCAAGCCGGTTTCAGACCCGGACGTGGGTGTGTAGACCACATTTTCACTCTACGACAGGTCCTAGAACACAGACACACATCCAGGCCTCCGACAATAGTTGTCTTCCCGGACCTTAAGACGGCATTTGACTCTGTGGATTGTGAGGTTGTGGCAGTGCCTGTCATTAAAAAGATGTACCAAAGAGCATTAACGTTATACAAGCTCTCTACTCGAACACCACTGGTCGAGTGAGAGCTTGTGGCGAACTGTCATCTGAATTCTTTACTTCAAGTGGTGTCCGTCAGGGATGTCCACTTTCTCCATTCTTGTTTAGTTTTATCATAGACACGCTCCTAGAAATAACCTTATCCTCATCTGAATTTTCAGGAGTAGACCTTTTACCAGGTGGCTCGCTTATTGACTTAGAATGTGCCGATGACATAGTCCTACTTGGTGAAGACGCTGACAAAATGCAGAGTCTTCTGACTACCCTAAGCAACAATGCAAGCATGTTCGAGATGCGGTTTTCCCCTCGAAATGCAAAATGTTGCTTCAAGACTGGGTTTCATCGGCACCTGAACTAGTGATAGGGAGTGAAGTAGTCGAACGTGTAGACCGCTTCACTTATCTTGGTAGTCTCATCAGTGCTGATGGCCTGGTGACTGACGAAATCTCAGCACGGATACAGAAGGCTCGATTGGCTTTTGCCAATTTGCGTCATTTATGGCGTAGACGAGATATCCGTTTGCTGACTAAAGGACGAGTGTACTGCGCAGTAGTTCGCTCCGTCTTACTTTATGGCTGTGAAACATGGCCAATGAGAGTAGAAGATATTCGTAGGTTACTAGTATTCGATCATAGATGTCTTAGAAGCATTGCTCCTGTATCCTGGGCCGACGGAGTAAGCAATGCTATCGTTAGGAAACGAGTACTAGGTAAGGATGGCAGATCAATAGATGAAGTACTGAATCTTCATCAGTTGAGGTGGTTGAGACATGTGTTACGAACACCCGACCACCGACTGCCTCGACGAGCTTTGTTTTGTGGTGTAGTAGTAGGTTGCAAGAAAGTTAGGGGCGGCCAGACCAAAACATGATACAAATCCTTGAAGTCACTAACAAGTGGACTGAGTCATGTTGGTAGATGTAGGCTACCTGGTTGGGGCCCGCGAGACGATAGTAACCGATGGTTAGAGACCTTGAATGACATGGATCAAAACTGTTTGTAGGTGCATCCACTCTTTGTGCTGTCTGAAATTCTAATCTGAATTCCTCATCACCTCTATTTTTCTATTTCTGAAGTTATCTCCCTAGTTTCTACTTCTTGAACAATATCTTCAAACCCTAATCTTCTCCTTTACCAGTAGTACTTCTACTACCTCTACTACTACTTTGAATTGCTTAGCAGTAGCGATTCTCGAGAACAACCCTGAAAAATATTACAAGTAAACAGAGATGCGCAAGAAATCTTTGAAGTTAGGCATGATGACTCCTTTAATTTTGAGGGATAAAAATACTGAACTTATGATACTCGCTTAAACAATTTAGTCCGATTTCTCTGCCTCGAGTAAATTTTACAGTCTTAGTCTGTTCAAGAACTCTATTTTGTTGACCAACAATAAAACACATGTAAATTTAGACCACTGTTCAACATTTATCTGAACTATTTCCCAAAGTGTTATACCAACTTTTAACATAGACTTGGATGGTTGTTAGCATTCATCGCACCAAATTTAAAGATTGTTTCACGAATGCTAATTTATTTACTGATGGTGTTCAGATTACCTGAAATATCAATGGATAAGACTGGTGCGTCCCTCTGTGACATATTCGGACCATCAAGTTTTGCAACCTTCGATGAAACTGTGAAGTTTATGGGTAGAAGACTTACATCTATGATCATCTTTTATAACTGGATTTATTGTTTCAAGAAAAATAAAGAAAATCCAGAGAAAAATTTCTTTATCGACGTTTTATTTTCTTAAGCTGGACGGTTCGGTTTTTAGCAAATTTGAATGTATTCAAACTAATTTAGAATGACTCTTTAGTATCATAAGGACCTATTCTGAAGTAAAAAGGTAGGACTATCAATCATCACTGTTTGCACATAGGATGAAAAGATAAATAACAGGTTTCGAACCTACCGAACCATATTTCCTTCATAAGAATAAGAGTATATACTGATTGCATTTCAAAAACTTAGGCATGAATATCACTTACGTAGTATCAACTCCCTTTTCATACCCACGGCCAAACATTTCTCAAGCCTGCACGAAGGACAGTGTTTACGCTGATTGCCTTCAATAGCACAACCCCCACCTCGGTTACAAGCTTTTATCTACGGTAAAAATTTAGTTTTATCAAGCATCAGTTAATGGGCGAAAGAGTTATATAAAAGGAACATGGTATATATATAAATTATTGATAAGATTAAAGGAGGTAAGTAGAAAAACGTTTACAATTACTTATGAGATTATGTAGGTATGATCATCTTGATTCACGAAGCCTCATTATAATTAAACCGTAAATGGAGATTCAGAACCACTCAATAATTTGCTGGAATGTATTATTTTATACTTTTAGATCAAGCAGGAGGACTGCAGTCGTAATATAGTACAAGTTAGAGATAATGTATAAATCCTGTCCTCTGAATCTAGCATGTTGAACCAAAACGTCTGTATAAACGCCTATAAGAAGCACATGCAGTGTAGTAATTCCCTACTTCGACCACTTCACTAATCTTTGAAGCCCCGTTGTCCTTAGTGAATTGTTAACTGATGGAATGTCAACAAGGATTAAAAAACTTCCCTGATATTCTCCAAGTAACATGCAGAGTAGACGGAGTGTATCACCCAAACAAGAAACGAGTAGACTGGTGCACAGTGTGCCTTGTATAGCTTTATTATTGTGAAAAACGGTGTATAAAAGTAGGAGACATGGGTAGGTTTTAAGTACATGATCACAGCGGCTTATAAAGTCTTGATCCTTCACAATGAAACAATCGGTCAAACAAGCCTGAAACTAAAGTAGAACATTATGCAAAAATGTTGGTAAGGCTATGAACTTTCATAGACTGAAGTAGCTCACACATACGTAATATATAATGATGCATAATGTAAAAACGTCTTAATTACTATTCTTTGCTCAAGGCTAAAAACATTGATTTCTTGTATACTAGGATTTACATTTGATTAGTTATGTGAAGACTGAAGATAAAGCTTGACTGTTCTGAAAAAAGTAAGTGGAGATATTCTCACCTAGCTACGTACCACTGAGGTACAATCTCATTAAGAAAGCTACATGTTACTCAAGTAAACGTAATTCTAGGTTTGTGACATGAAAAACTAAAACATTTAGATTAGTCATGAGAAACCAAACCTAAATCCAACTTTACATAATCGTTAACTCCAAAAGCCTAGCAACGCTGTAGAAGCACATGAAACAAAGTCACTTTAATTTACTCAAACTTGGGTGAGTATTTTGACTGTGAAGATGAAAACATAAATTAACTGAAAGCAAACCATTTCAGTATTAACATTGAGATTAGTAGTCACTACCCCCAATAACTGTGTAGACAATGAAGTGGACCAAATATCGCTATTTAGATAAACAGTCCAGGTCTGACGAATAGTCAGGCTTTCTTTGCATTGAGAGAAGAGGGCTTTAGTACTAAATGAAACGTTTCGGCTAGCCTCCTCTCTTTAAAGCTAGAAATAGTAGGGTTACCCAAGTAGGAACTGAATAAATAGTAAGGCCAGACGACATCCGTTCAGTTAGCAAGGCTACAAGGCTAATTTCTAACGTCCCTAGCTAATCCCGTTGTTAAGACCTTGATATGATTTCTCAAAACCATTAAGTAATATAAGAACTCTATGCAGTTAGCAACATTTGTGTTTAATATTACTATGGCGCGGACTCACAAGTCTTTGGACTTAAATGTAGTGAAATATCGCAAGACTTCAGTAGGAGGGGGGTTTGAGTTGGTCACACATAAGAAACTTACTTTGTCCCTAGGTTTCAGCGCATTTCTACGAAAAAATGCCTTGCAACTTTCGCAAGTCAAACGATCAAAATTATAACCAGATGCCGGTTCACCACACACAATACACACACGTTCTTCTTCACTTATACCGGCTTTTCGCCTTCTGGTCCGGACGACACCAGATAAAGAGTGCTTCCGAGAACTACTTTGGGCAAGTTCATTGAAGTCACTGAAATAATGGCTATTGTTGCTGCTATCGTTATGACCACTCTGGATGTATGGATGGTTTTGTATATACTCCGTTTGAGAACGATTTAGGCACAAAAACCCTTCTTTGTCGTGACTAGCATTATTCACATGACCGGCAGAAGAAGGACCAGTAATATTCAAAGAATTATCCAATGGAATTCCCGAAGAAATATGCAACGAATTAGTTCGTATATTAGCATTCGCGTTCCCGCCTGGATAATCGTTAGCTCCTGGATCCATTACACAATAAACTTGTGAAGTCTTTGAAATAAATTTGTTCAAATGCTGTATGTTGAAAGCTCCAAATAGGTTTACTGTAGTGTGGTTATGATGCGACGAAGCCTATAAAGTCATGTTACGTAAGACAGCGAATCGACCGGATAAACACCGCAAACTCTTATAGAACGCGCCCGAATCTAGTATCGTTTTGGACAAGTTAGTGTGAACTTACTGATTTATTTAGTTAGCTTTTCGATGCTTAGGTAAGGTTCTAGGGCTTCGGTAGACCCAAAGTGAGCACCATGACTACTTGGCTGCACTAATTCTACTAAATTGTCAACTTCTGGACTTATTTTTTTAGCATAAACTAGTCTTCAATATCCAGTTTGATAATAGGTTATTCGTAATCTGTTTATGTTTAGCCAATAAATATAATCCTTCAACACCATTTCAGATATAATTTCCGGATGGAAACATGCAAATACTGTGAACATCTGAACTGTTGCGTTACTGAATCATTCAATTACCTGTCAGGTCTATTTATTTTCGAAGAAACAGTATCTAACCTTGGACTCATTTTCACTAAACTTGCGACTTTTGACTTGTCCAGTATATATAAAATTCTGTTTTTTATCATACTCGGTGTAAAACAGTTTTATATGTCCATAACCATTGCTACCTGTGCAAACTAATTTTAAAAGTATTTAGTTGATGGACGCCGATTAAACCATTCAACTTTATTTTCTCCGTTTGCATTATAAAGGTAGTAATTCAGATCCTTTTTCAAAGTTTCCCGTATGTTGTTATTTATTCATTTGAGCTATAGCATCGTCTTCAAAATTCATTGACTTGACCACGTAATCCTTCCGAACTCTTTGCAAGGGTAATGTATCAAGATAAGTAACCTTAAAGACTGAGGCATGCAGTTGTTTGCGCACTCAGCAGCCGTGTTTTGCAGATTTCTGCAACCTGGCGTGTTCTTTACCACAGCAAGTTGTTGGTGTCTGACCAAAGACTCCTTGGCATTTTGCGTAGACAACTGTTTATAAACAGTATGGCTTTCGTAGTTCTACAAGTTCCCAATCCATACAAAATGACGGTTTTGAAATTCAAACTGAAAATTGAGACTTTGATGTTGTTTGATGGTTATTTTGAATCCCATGTGGTTTTCACTTGTCTAAATGTCGCCTTTGCCTTGCCAATCGGCGTCTTTACGTCTGCAGCAAATACACCTTTTTTACCGATGACGTTGCTCAGGTACGTAAAGGTTTCTGCATCTTCGAGAGCTTCTTTCTCAAGTGTTGTTCGTTTGGTGCATCGTTCATCCAGGCTAAAGATCGTGCTTCTTCCTTAGAGACTTACTGCTGCCGAGGCTTCTTCTACACTGGTCACCTTCTCTTGCGTTTGTTGTGTGTGAGGTATAAAAGTTGATCATTAGTCGATTCCAGATCGTCTTGTTAAACCGAGCTGTCAACTGTATACCTTGTTTATGTTGTGATGTTGACTTCTTCATGACACCCCAAGCTGCAGAAATTGGAGGAATGGCGAGGTTAGGTAGCCCTGTATAACATCGTTCTTTGGTTAGAACGAGTTTGTGAGCTTACCTTCACGCTTGACTGTGCAGCACAGTTCGTTGTAAGAAACCTGTATCATGATGACAGTCTCTTTAGGTACATTGCAGTGCCGAAAAAAGTTCTATCAAGTATTCCTGCAAGAGTTGTCAAGCGCTTTTTCATAATCAAGGAAGTCAATGCATAGTGATGATTTCCATTTACCTGATTGTTCCACGAAGATTCGTAATGTCACAGTTTGGTCGGTACACGATCGATCTATACAAAATCCAGCCGGCTGAAGTTGAGAGTTTACTGAATCTTTCATTATGTTTAACAGTACTCCATTGAAAATTTTTCCTGATATTGTTAATAGAGGAATGTCTATGTAGTTCTCACATTTGATGAGATGTCCTTGCTTTATATCTTGATGAGGTGTAATTATTTCTTGTCTGTTGGTTTTTGATCTTCACCCCAAATCTCGAGGAACAGCTGCTGTGTCTGCCTCCAATGCCTCATCTTGTGTGTTGTCTGGTCCCGCTGCTTGCCAACGATGATGACCACGCTGATCCCTTCGATTGTTGATGGGTCAAAATTAAGTGGGAACTCCGTGGGTGCTATTTCGCTATTTGGCTGGCTAAGTGAATCTGGTCGATTCATAAGTTTTGTGGAGTGCTCTACTCACGTCTTAACGCGGTTTACTCTTCACTTAGTAGGTCGTGAGTCTTGGAACTTATTGCTGATAGCTATCTTGAATTCGTCGATCCCGCAAGTATGTTAAATACAGGCTCTATTAACCTTCCGTGATGCTCCCTGATCGCTTCTCCAGTGCTTCTTCAGCTTCAGGTTCCTTTAGGCCACTACAGAGTGATGAAAGTAGCTACATCGACTCCTCGCTTAGTTATCACGCCCTCCAGCGTCCTTCGGAAATTTCAATTAATGCGAATGTTGTCAAATGGATTCTCTGTAGTGTTACTCATTGAAAACCATGTGCCTCAGCGTATGCGTTTATGTGGGAATCTGATGCAGCCTATGATCGATTTGCTGAAGGCAAAAAGGTTTGCAAACCTCTCAACGTTTTTCTTCCCTTCTCCCAACCTTTGTCATCCTATGATGTCTTCATACCTGCCATTGTACTTTTCGATCCTGATGTTTAAGTCTCCCATCAGAAGAGTCATAGCGCCTTTTGGAAATTTCTAGGCTACCGACAACAGTCTGGAATAAAACTTACTGATGATAGTAGTAATATTTATTCGCAAATAACGGCACGTTACAAGAGGCATGCCAATTTACAGGCTCGATCAAATTATCACAAACACTTTCACATTTACTGCAAAAGTTATCGCAGTTAAATTAAGTATAAGAGACAGCTCATGATAGCACCATGTCACTGACAGAAACAGTATGATACTGTTGGGATGTTAGATCCCCAGAACTTGCTTGAAAATGCCTTATTTGGATTTCACGTTTGCGAGCATGCACTGATCAGTTGACTTTGAGATTTCATTTCCCACCAGGACAATCCATGACTGTGATTGACCTGCTGTGTATTTCGTAACTGTCCCAAGGACGTTTCTATGATGTATAAATAAACGAGAGTTTTGTGCTTGATTGTATTGTGATTGCTGATTGTTGTAGAATATACTTTTTACGCTTACCAAGTCTTCCGTTTTAAAGTTTGGGATTCAAAGTAGCCTACCTGAACGCTGGTAATCGTCTCGACTAAGGTGAACTCGCAATAGCTTCAAGCGTACCAAGTGATGAACATAACAGATACTGCCACATTGTCAATAGGAGAGTAAAAATACGGAAGGTGCACAGTGGGTTTCTTGGGGGGTTTGCTTAGATCAGTAGTGACTTTGTTGGGAAAGGTCAATTGGAAAGCGCTTGATACAAGCTATGACCTGGACGTGCGTGTACACAGGTCTTACGCTCCCTAGAGGCGCCATGGATTTTCCACTGTGAATAGGGTTCTGAAAAGGGATTGAACAGAGAGAGAATAAAAAGGCAGCAACGAGGTAGTTGTATATATATAACCGAAGCACTGCTTAACCATTCATAGTGAAGTAGTCAGTAAAGTGGTAAGTGAAGATGAAGTTCATGCTGACCACTGAATTCAAAGTAAATTATAGGAATTTAAGACCATAAACTACAAATGAAGGAGCACAGTAATGAGGAAGGAAAAGTTGTGAAGCGTCAAGTGGATAATAATTGTGATAACAATTTATTCTCAAATAACAAACATGTTACAAGAGGCATGCCAGTTTACAGGCGAGATCAAAATGTTAAGATCGGCAACATATTTCTTTTAAAACGGTGTATAGTTACTGAAATATTTCACAAGATACATAAGCACCATTTAGATGGCTAAAATTTTTTCACATAAATTTAAAGATAATTTTGCAGACTCTACAATGTACAGTGCGAATAAATGGATAGAATAGAAGTTGAAGTAAGAAGCTGGATTGATGTACATTGAAATCGAAATTTAAGTATAAAGAGTAGAGTTTGTGAAAAAAACATTGATAATTAAAAATTTTCACTAACTGTTTTTTTAAATGTCAACCTGTAAGCGCTTGAAAAAGCATGTTGCGGGTGTCTTGGTAGAATAGCAGTTTTGGAAACATGAGCCTCAGAAGTAGCAGGCTTGTAGGAGCGACTTCAGAGTTGCTGATTAGTCGCCTCAATAATCGAAAGAGCCTGCCACCCCCAATGGAGCATAAGCCACTGACCAGTGTTCTCCAACCTTCTCTGTCCTGGGATTCCCTTTCCACCTCTGTCCAATTTTTGTTCATTCTTCCCATATCTTTCTCCATTTCTCGGCGCAATATGTTTCCTGGCATTCTTCCATTCCTCTGACCTTGGGGGTTCCAAGTGAGGGCTTGTCTCGTGATGACTTTCATAGTTCCCCCCCAGACAGTAGAACTGTTTTGAAACTTGTATTGAATGTTATAACTTTAGTTTTTGTTGACAGTTGTTTGGATTTCCAAATGTTGTTGTATGCTGTCTGTCCTCTGCGTCCCATGCTTCCCCCCATATGTTGACGTCTAGCCTAAACTCACTTTTCTGTGATATGCCGGAAGTCCTCAAACGCAGTTTCCTTGCTGCTCGGCTGTGTTTACCGTCAGCCTAACGCACCAACAGGGGACCAAGCAATGATGTCACCATTCACGTTTGCTCTATCCCTACCGTTTACATGATAGGCTTCAACATACCTGAAATCTCCAGGTACCCAATCAAAGCGCTTAAACGATTTGAATCACTTATTGAGTGCCTAAAGCTTGGAGAGTGGACTCAAAATGCTGACGTCCGAACCAGATGTCACAATATATTGGATTTAGTTTCCATCAGTAACCTCCTAATCGGGTGTATGTTGGAAAAACGTTCCCAGGTAGCGATCACAGTATCGTCGTATGCAGTCTTGATATAGATGCCACAACTATAAGACGTGAATCCACCACACATAGTAGGGACTATGGTGAGATTGATCTGGCCAACTTTCTAAATTGCCTCAGAAGCAATGACTGGACAAACTTCTTTACCGTAAACAATACCGACGAACTAAAAAATGTATTTTGTCGCAACAACAGTAATATAATCAGTAAATTCGCAGCTTTAAGATCATGGAAACCAG